ATCACTTTCCTTAATATAGCATAATAGCAACAACAATTATTAAAAATAGTCAATTATTAAAGGATGAAAGTTTTTAATTTTATTTTGCATTTTACCACAATTCAATCACAATATATGGTCACCATCGAAATCAAAATATTGTACAAGTAACTTTATTCCCACTGTTCCTTTTTTCCTTTTATAGTTTGAATTTAAAAACTAAAATTGCATTATAAATTGTAAAAAAAAATAATAATAACAATAAAAAAAACAGTAATTAAAAAAAAAAAACCGCGGGCGGGCCGATTTGGCCCGCGGGCTAATGCGGGCGGGCTACGGGCCATGGATTTCCCAGCCCGTAGAAATGCGGGCCATTTTGGCCCGCCCCGTTTGAACCGCGGGCCGGAGCGGGCCGGGCCGGACCGGCCCGTTTGACAGTGCTAGGTAAAACGGTTTGCTGAACCGGTCGGAGGGATTATACAGCAAGGAAAGCCGAACTAATCTAATATCAGTGAGAAATATGATGACGGTCGAACATTTCGAAGATAAGACTTGGGAAGATTGGGCGAACTCTAGGACGAGTAGCGTACTACTAGCAGTTGAACAATGGACCAGTCAAAGAAGTCAACCAGCCAGATGGTCGAATAGTCGAGCAGTCTAGTCGACCTCAATAGGTCGACTACTTCGAGGACTATCAATATTCTGGAGATCGGCCTAATCACAGGCGCGTGTGAGAGTCTCTAACGGAATTTTAGGGAAATGTTCAGAGGAATATTTACTTAATGTGCAGAGGACACGTGTCAAGGGCGTATTGGTTGATAACAACAACAACCTCTGACAACTCCCAACGCCACCTCTGACATACGCGTGGGGTGTCAGAGTACGGATGGGCAGCTGGGGCAGCCAGCTCACCAAATTTGGGCAGCTTTAGGTCAGGTATCTCACCCCGATATAAAGAGGGTGGGCCTTTCTTCCTTAGGATGATTTTCCATTATTCAACCCAAGTATACTCATACATATACTTACTTAAGCCTCGGAGGCTCTTCACCGAAAAACCCCCCCGGTGTGAGAGTTATTTGCAGGTCTCCGACATTCTACCGGCGAGGACAAGAAGCGATCTACCTCAAACCGGGCCAGGACGTTCAGACTTGCATTACATGCATTGTCCCCTTGACATACATTGGAAAGTTATGAGGAAAGTTTTTAGATATCTAGCTAACACCTTAGATCATGGGCTGCAACTCT